ACATCAGTCCTTCCAATGAATATTCAGAATTGATTTTCTTTAGGATTGACTGGTTTGATCTCCTTGCAGGCCATGGGACTCTCAAGAGTCTTCTCCAACACCACAGTTCAAAAGCATCAATTCTTCAGCACTCAGCTTTCTTTATAGTCCAACTCTCACATCCATACATGACTACTGGAAAAACCATAGCTTTGACTAGATGGACCTTTGTTGGCAATTAATAATTTACATGTAGATAATTTATTAATAAAACCATAGTCAAAGTTTTGTGAGATGGACCACACAGAAGGCTGAGTACCAAAGAACTGATGTTTTTGAACTGTGGTTCTGGAGAAGACTCTTGAGAATCCCTTAGACTACAAGGAGATCAAACCAGTCAATCCTAAAGGAAATCAGTCCTGAATATTCATTGGAGGACTGATGCTGAAGCTGAAGCTCCAATACTCTGGCCACCTGATGCAAAGAACTGACTCACTGGAAAAGACGCTGATGATGGGAAAGACTCATGGCAGGAGAAGGGAACAACAGAGGATGAGATGGTTGGATAGCATCACCGACTCAATGGACATGAGTTTGAGCAAGCTCCAGAAGATGAAGGACAGAGAAGCCTGGTGTGCTGTAGTCCATGGGGTCACAAAGTCAGACACGACTGAGTGACTGAACAACTATCTGTAGATTACACTGAATTCTCTATGTAGTCAACCATATTTTCTGCAAATAATGACAGTTCAGTTTTTTCTTCTTCTTCAACCCTACATTTTTCTTACCAAATGTTAGGCAATGTGTACATATTTTTTTTTTTAATTTTATTTTTTTTTTTATCACAACCATAGTGTATCTTTTTTTTTTTTTTTTTTTACATGTATTCCCCATCCCGGTCCCCCCTCCCACCTCCCTCTCCACCCAATCCCTCTGGGTCTTCCCAGTGCACCAGGCCCGAGCACTTGTCTCATGCACCCAACCTGGGCTGGTGAACTGTTTCACCCTAGATAATATACGTGTTTCAATGCTGTTCTCTTGAAACATCCCACCCTCGCCTTCTCCCAGAGTCCACAAGTCTGTTCTATACATAGGAGTCTCTTTTTCTGTTTTGCACATAGGGTTATCGTTACCATCTTTCTAAATTCCATATATATGTGTTAGTATACTGTAATGGTCTTTATCTTTCTGGCTTACTTCGCTCTGTATAATGGGCTCCAGTTTCATCCATCTCATTAGAACTGATTCAAATGCATTCTTCTTAATGGCTGAGTAATATTCCATGGTGTATATGTACCACAGCTTCCTCATCCATTCATCTGCTGATGGGCATCTAGGTTGCTTCCATGTCCTGGCTATTATAAACAGTGCTGCGATGAACATTGGGGTACACGTGTCTCTTTCAGATCTGGTTTCCTCGGTGTGTATGCCCAGAAGTGGGATTGCTGGGTCATATGGCAGTTCTATTTCCAGCTTTTTAAGAAATCTCCACACTGTTTTCCATAATGTGTACATATTTAATGGAAGTTTTGATAGCAAACATCCTTGTTTCATTACAGCTCTTAAAGAAAAGGTTTCACCTTTCACCTTGGGTATGATACACGCTGTAGATTTTATACAGCTACTATTTATTACATTAAAAAAGTTCTCTTCTATTCCTAAACATTCTAAATTTTTTCTTTTTCATGAATGGATACTAAATTTTATATATGTTTTGCTACAGACTACATCTTCTATTCTACATTTTTAAAATAAACACAGATTGACCATAAAGATCACATTTTATCTTTACTTGTTTATTATGGTGTCATAAAAACAACTGGGGAATCTTTCGTTTCCCCTTTTTCTATTCCAAGTCTGTACTTTTTTTTTCTAAGCATTTGATAGGACTTGTCAGCAAAACTATTTGAACTTAAAAGTTTTCTAAGATTTTGAAAACTTTCTTCATAATCATTAGAAAGCTATTAAAGTTTCCTACTCTTAAGCCTGTATAGTTTTATAAGAATTTATCCATTTTACCCAAATTATCAAATTTGTTGGTATAAAGTTATCCATATTACCTTATTGTCTATCAAATCTATAGTGATGTCCCTTTTTCATTTCTGCTGATTATTTATGGCTTCCTCTTTTTTTTTTTTTTAACCACTCTTCCCTTTAGGTAGTAATGAGTCAGAGCCCCAGGCTCATGCACCACTGAAGCCTTTCAGACACCCACTCAGCACTTCCAGATCAGATGCTTCTTCACAGATGATTAGCAAGCCTAAAACCTGAGTATGTTGCTTGGGGACAAATAAGTTTCAGAAATAATTAGCATGGGCCTTCATTTTTGACATTAGATGGTAAATACCCTGTGTGCTGTATTGTGCTGTCATGTTCAACTCTTTACAACCCCACAGACTGTAGCCCACCAGGCTCCTCTGTCCATGGAATTTTCCAGGCAGGAATACTGGAGTGGGTTGCCATCTTCTACTCCAAGGCATCTTCCCAACCCAAGGGTCGAACCCACGTCTCTTGTGTCTCCTGCGTTGGCAGGCAGATTCTTTACCACTGTACCACCTGGGCTTCCCAACTACTCTATGAGATGGGTCTATAATTATCATAGCTAAGGAAACTGAGTGTCATGGTGGTTAGTATTTCAAACCAAGGTTACAGTGCTAGTACATACAAGAGCTCAAATTCTACCATGTCTTATTCTTTTTCTCTTCTCTTTTAAACCTTATTTTTAACTCAGCCATTTACTAGCCAAAGTGTCTTCAATGTGTAGCAAGTTACATCTTCATCCATAAAATTGTTTTTAACATTTTTCCAATCTGAGTATGGAGAGACAGACAGACACATATACCAACTCAGACTATACTCAGCAACTTGCTGTTACTATTTATGGAATATACTTTCACAACAGTACTCCCATTCTTAACAGCTCTTAACGAGTGCATGGTATTCATAGTATACCTTCATGCTTGTTGAATGACTGAAAAATTGTGAAAATAAAGACCCAAAGGCACCTTTCCTTCTAGTTATGATACAGTGTATTCCAAACCAGCCATGTCTCCCCCTCCCAATCCCCAACTCCCGTCCTTTCAATGTCCTCCCTTATTCCCAACCTACAGAACGGCAGGGAACCAGCAGCTTCACAGATGGTGCTTCACAGCTCGATGCTAAGCAGATGTGAGAAGCATCTTTCTGTCATCATCTACTCAGAACTAACCAACAGTGTCTGAGGTCTTCCTCAGGTCTTGTACAGGCAGCCCTGAGAGAAAAGCTTTAATCAAAAAAAAAAAAAAAAGAACTGTTATTCACAACATAGTACTGATTATTTTGAAACACCTATACCCTTTTCTCTCCATGAGAAAAAAATTTGTAGGCCACAGCAGATACAGCATCTCACTCATTAAATACAAAGTTCAGTATTACAATCAGCATCTATGAGTTTCTCCATCTGAGTCCCCTCTTCTGCCACCTAGCTGCAGCTCCTAAACAAGAGGTAACAGTGCCACTTACTGTTGGACTCATCACATTACAGTTTGAAACCAGTTCCTCAATTTTGGATTCTAAATGCTAAATGCAATTAGCAGGAAAAGTAACAGTTGACCTTTGAGAACTTACTAAGTACCAGAAATTATGCTGAGCGCTCTGTAGCCATAATCTCATTTCAGCCCTAGAACAAACCTATAATTTTTATTTTGCAGTTATGAAGTGGTTTTATGAAAACATCCCAGGGTTAAGAATCCAATCACCTAGATCAGACCCTCTGGCCAAATTCATTCGGCTGCGTTTTGTACATTCCACAAGATAGGAATTATTTTTAACATGTTTAAATGGTTTGGAAAAAAATCAAAAGAATATTTCATAACATGTAAAAATTATTTAAACTCAAGTTTCAATCTCCATATCTAAAGTTGGAACACAGCATTCTCATTTGTCTACATATTTTCTACGGCTGCATTTGTACCGCAGTAGAGGAGTAGTTACAATGGCTAAAAACTGTTAACTCCGGACCTAGATTCTAATCTGGACACACCACCTGAGCAAACCACAAAACTAATCCCTACTTTCATAAAGTGGGGGTTATACCTACTTAGAGGGAGTTTTAGGAAGGTTAGTGCTTAAGCTCACAGTATCTCAAGACAGCAGCAGAATTTGACATAAATGCTTTAAAATGTTCAAAAGGAGCTCATAATTTCCATCTGTAAACTTCCTTCCTCAATCTAATACCATGTGATGTATAAAATAAGAATTTTGGGGTTAAAATATCAGATTCCACTCTTGACTCTGTTACTTACTGCCTAGGATTAAATACATGATGCCACAGCAGCAGCAGCAGAGAGGTAATAAAGTATGAAGGCAGGCTTTGAAAGGAGAACATTTCAATCCTGGCTTTGCCACTCACTAGCTTGATGACCTTGGATAAATGACACCCCTCTGAGTCTCCACTCCTTCATCTGAAATATGGTGTAAAAATCATGATTTTAATGGGTTGTTTTCCCCCACCCCACCCCACCCCCCAACCCCGCACCCTTTCCCCCGAAGCAAAAAACCTCTCCCATGAAAGGTGCACTCACCACAGTGAAGGGAAAAGGACACCCTTATCACCAGAGATAAGGAATTTGAACTGAAAAGCCTCTATAAATAAACCTTGTTACCTCTTTATTACTCCAAGCCCAAATTGTTTAGATTCTTCATTGAGCACATGCCAATTCCTCACAAATTCAGTGTTTGTCTAAAGAATATAAATGCTCTGGCTACTTCTTAGGTCCCATTGCTGAGACCTCTGTGTACAGGAATTAAAATTTTCTCCTATTAATTTGTCTTGTGTCAGTTTTATTATTAGTCCAATCACAAGAACTCAAGAGGGGTAAAGGGGGAAATTCCCCTCTCTCCCCAACACTTCCCGTCAGATTTAGGATAGAACAAACTCCTTTCCTTGGCCTTCTAAGTCCTGTAACCTGCCACCATCTTCTTCTCTAGCTCCAACCTCCTCCCTCCCTATGGTGTGGCCCTAACAGCCTTTTCCCTCAAAATTATGCCAACTTTTGTCTCAAGAGACACTTGTACTTGCTGTTTCCTGTGACCTCAGGACAGGTCTTTTCTCTCAAATACAACACAGCACAGTTGAAATAGTCTTCCACAACCCTTAACAATTTCAAACACAGAAACAACTTGAGAAAATAATGTGGACAAGGCATTTTGAGTAGGAAATAGAAATATATTGGAAGCAAGATTCTTGTTATAATGGCTGAATGGTTAATGCAAGAATTTATGCCTTCAAAAATTAACCTATTTGTGTTCCTGTTTCTTTCATTTTCCTTCCCACTCTTCACACCCCCAGGAACTAAACCAATGTCAGGAATAAAGAGGACCACAATATCCACTAAATGAATAGAGCAAATAAATGGCTTAAACAGAGGGGTGAACCACCTTCTTCCATACATTAACATGTTGGGATCTATCATATTCTTACAGAATCTTCTCCCCGCCCCCCACCAGCTGAATGGCCCAGATGAAATCAAGAATGCCACCCTAACTTCTCCCTCCCAGCTGGTCAATTACCTATTTTTTTTTTGGAGACAACTCCCAGACACTAGTATAGAAAGACTTAACACTCAGTAAACTGTTAGCACACATGTTCTCCATTCATACCATCAAAGAAGCTGGTTCGTATAGAATGACATTAACAGAAAAGTCAAAGGAGGGACAAAGGGTTCTGGACCAGGTTTGAGTCCCAGTTGCTCTAAAGAACCTCCAAGTCCTCTTCATGGTTTGGATGTTTAACTTACCCCTCAATCATTTAACACATGATTTCAATAATCATGTGTTAGGGATCTCATAAATCCTTAAATTTCATAAATTTAAAAGGATTTCATAATCCTTTCAATAAATTCATCTTTTGCTTAAACTACTAGTAGAGAGTACTGAGTAATGCAATCCTTTATCCTATGGCACAGCAATCACCTACAAACTTCTTAAAACCAATTTCAGGGCCCCACTCTAGAACAAGGAAACCAGAATCCTTATAGTCTGGGTCCCAGCACTGGTAATACCCTGGCTATACCTTCAGATATTCCACTGCAAGGTATCAATCTAAGGAATATTCATTATGATCAGGTGTGCAAAGATGTATTTTAATCTTCACACAGTCTTTACATACACTTTGAAATTTGTAACAACTATCAGACCACTGGTGTTCTTTCATCCCATTATAACAGCAGGAGTTCACATCAGAATTCTTTAGTTTATGTCAAGTTCTACCCTGACAGATCGACAAGATCATATCCCCTCAAAGTCAGTATTTAAGATTTCACATGAAATTTTAATCTCTTACTCTTTCTCAACAAACAAACATTACACACAAATAATGTTGTGACTCTCTTAAGGATGTGATAGTGATAATGTGATTCAGTTAGTTTTTTCCATGCAAGGACTTGCAAAATTGGTTTTGTACCTCAGTGTTATAAGACGGTTGTGGTCAAAGGAGATTCCTTTGGAGAGTTGCTGAAGTGTTATGTTATGTCTACCTTATTCTGCCACAGGGAGATGAGGGCGTTTCCTTTCCCCTTCAATTTAAACTTAATAGAGCCCAGACTGTGTCTCCTGGAGTCTATGGAGCCCAAAAATCAATACCAAACACATATCAGGAAAAAACAAATGAGACCTGCCAACTATCTGCCTAACAGAGAGGTTGTCTACTTGAAAGTTACACAGTCATGTCTGACTCTTTGTGATCCCATGGACTGTAGCCTGCCTGGCTCCTCTGTCCATGGAATTCTCCAGGCAAGAGTACTAGAGTGGGTTGCCTTTTCCTTTTCCAGGGGATCCTCCTGACCCAAGGATCAAATCCAGCACTACAGGCAGATTCTTTAGCAACTGAGCCACTAGGGAAGCCAAATATTTTTTAAGACAGGCAAGAGGCCCATGGACAGAAAGAGAAGAGTGGCCCCACTTGCCAAGAACGTCTGTCCCTCGTCTGGCACAGCTTAGGCCCAGTCCAGGAGAGTGTGCAGAACAGGCTATCTACTTGGGAACAGCCTAAACACCCCAAAATTTTAAAGAAAAGGATAAATCAGTGTCTCACACACAGAACTGACCCATGGCCACTTTAAACCGGACTTTGCCAGTTTATTTGGGAAAAGGCCTTACCATTATTAGGGATTCTTAAGCTTGAGCCTGCACGGGAATCACCTGAGAGCTCTTTAACACAGTTTGTTGAGCCCCACTTCTAGAATTCACTTTAGCATGGCTGGGGTGGACCTGAGAATTTGCATAAGCAGTCCCCAAGTGATGCCAATGCTGCTGGTCTAGCACTATGCTTTGAGAATCACTCAAAGCATATTTCTAAATATGCTTTATTAAGAGGAAGGCTGGTAGAAACCCTAAGATACAAGGCAGACTCTCCATCAAGATTTCAGTGGAACAGGGGTTGGAGAACAGAAAAGAGAAGTGCAGAAATGAAATCTCAGTGCTCAAAACAACAATACAACAAAATAACAGTAAGCTGACTTCTTACTCACATGGTGAAGTTAAATCAGCGGGGGGGGGGGGGGGGGGGGGGGGCGGCTGGGGGGCGGGGGGGGGAGGGTGGAGTTAAAATGAAAGGAGGTCCTAGTCTTCAGGCATTCAAGGACCCAAAATGACCAAACCTCTGCCATCTTCAAGGGGTTTCCAAAGTTTTCCTGGGTGTGACCATCAAACCAGCAGATGAGAAGAGAACGGTGGGTGATATAAGAAACTTTTATGGGGCAGGCCTGGATTTTTATATCATATTCCACTGCTAAGAACTCAGTTGCGTGGCCTCACAGAGATGCACAGGGAATGGAGAACCATAGTTTCTGGCAAGGCATGTCTCAGGGGAGTAAGAATCTCTGGTGGAGATCCAGCGATCTCTACCACCAAACCCCCTTTCCATTGCAGGCTTCCAGCCTAAAGCAAGTCTGAATCTAGGAAATGTAGTACAGATAATTTACATGGACATTTTAATGATTAAAATGAATGTTTACAACTAAAAGTGATCAAAGGACTTCTTAGGGACTGGATAAAACTTCCAGGATCCATCCAGGATAGGGGTAAGAGGCTGAGACAGTGTTTGCAAGAACAGCCAACAGAAAAAAAATGAAACTGTTATATAACTCTGGGGTTCCTCTCTTTAAACATGTTACACTATTCTTTTTTAGAGATTAAGCAAGTTTTTAAGTGAAACAAAGATTTCATAATTTCACATTTATAAAGTCTGATATCCTTTATTATCTATCACTCTTAAAGCAAATGACAAATCTACTTTCCAGGGTTGAAAACCTGCTATCACTGAAGATATCTTCAAAATTCACTGCAACTCTGGAAACAAGGATATTCCACAAATACCTGCACTCTGCTTTTTAAGGTGATCACTCTTAATTAATGTAGGCACACTCATTTACTTATGCTTGCCATAAGGTGAAATTAGTGCTGTGATTTCTCACAATTGAGAAAGTTGGAGAATCAAGCTGCTTGCAAGACTTCTAGTTATATCTCTTTTGAGACTCTCTAAAAGTGAATTAACTAATGTGTATACCATTCACTAAAGGGGAAAGGAAAAGAAACATCCTTCACGGCCTTTCATTCATTTCATCAATCAGGACACACAAGGCAGCATCTTTCTCTATAATCTGATCTCTCCTATGACCTGAATTTTCTCTTTGTTGTTCATTCTGTCCAGTACAATTGTTGCTGTCATCAGCGTCCATTGGTTCAGTTTTTACTCTCATCCCTGCTTCCGAATGAGGCAAATCATCAGGCAGAGAAGCCAAGCAATTCTGAATCATCTCAATGACTCGTTCGAGATGCTTTTGAAACCTCTCGGCTGTCTCAAGACGTTGACGTTTCTGCACCTCCATCATGACTCTCAAGGTCTCTCTTGCTTGGTGGGGTCGGTATTCATTTATGAGATGATGTACATGTACAAAAAGCAGCTTAAGATCTTCTAGCTTCTCTTCTCGTTTTATACTCCCAGGGCTCCTTATCAAGATATCTAAGAGGTCTAAGAAATTAATAAGGATAGACATATTGAGTTTTCTCAGTTCTTTCTTGTGATCAAACTGCATAGGATGAAGTCGTTCAATACCCTGACTTTCTAAAGGGCGGATGATAAGATCATCACACTGGAACTGGTTGCCAAACATCATGTAACTGTCCTTTATTGGAGGTGGAGGCTTGGGAGCGAGGCCTTCCTGAATATTTTCATCTGTATACTCCTTGATGTACTGCATCGGAGGGGGTGGAAGGGCACTCACTTGCTGTGGCTCACCCATTGTGGAAGATCAAGAACCTACAGAAATAAACCATGAAACAAAAAATAAGAGGCAAACAAAACATAACAAACACACACACACCAAGAGACCAAAGATCGAGAGTGGAGCTACAAAACAAACCTGTCACATTCAGGGATTAATGACAGAATATTTTCCTTTTTCTCCCATGGCCATTTGGTGCCCAGGACAAAATGATCTCCCTTGTCTCTAAAACTAACATTTACAACAGGGAAAAGCTGCTATCCTTTTCTAATTTGCATTATATACTCAATCATTCAAGTATTTTTCCAGCTCTACTTAACATTTCATCAGCACAAAAAACTACTGTAGTAAACAGCTGACCTTCAAAGCTATGGCTTTTCCAGTAGTCATGTATGGATGTGAGAGTTGGACTATAAAGAAAGCTGAGCACCGAAGAATTGATGCTTTTGAACTGTGGTGCTGGAGAAGACTCTTGAGAGTCCCTTGGACTGCAAGGAGATCCAACCAGATCCAATCCTAAAGGAAATTAGTCCTGAATATTCATTGGAAGGACTGGTGCTGAAGCTGAAAGTCCAATACTTTGGCCACCTGATGTGAAGAACTGACTCACTGGAAAAGACCCTGATGCTGGGAAAGATTGAAGGTGGGAGGAGAAGGGGACGACAGAGGATGAAATGGTTGGATGGCATCACCAACTTGATGGACATGAGTTTGAGTAAGCTCCGGGAGTTGGTGATGGACTGGGAAGCCTGGCGTGCTGCAGTCCATGGGGTCGCAAAGAGTCAGACACAACTGAGAGACTGAACTGAACTGATAAAGTGGATCACTGGACAACACAGGTTTGAACTTGCAAAGGTCCACTTATATGTGGATTTTTTTCAATAGTAAATACTAGAGTACTACAAGATTTATGGGGCTTCCCTGGTGACTCAGTGATAAAGAATCCACCTGCCAATGCAGGAAATGTGGATTTGATCCCTGGGTCAGGAAGATCTCCTGGGGAGGGAAATGGCAACCCACTCCAGTATTCTTGAATGGGAAATCCCAGAGGAGCATGGCGGGCTAGTCCATGGAGTTGCAAGAGTCAGACATGACTTAGTAAATAACTAAAAACAAGATCCATGTGTGGTTAAATCCTCAGATGCTGAACCACAAATATGAAGGAACGGCAGATACAAATGGTCAATTCTAAGTTATACTCAGATTTTCAACTGTGAAGAGGCTGGGCATCCCTAACCTCCCAGTTGTTCATGGGTCAACTATATTTTCATCTATAAGTGAAATAGTCTGGATTCCACACCCCTCACCAGTTATGCCTCATTTCTCTATCCCCTCTGCAGCCAAACTACACATGCTGTCTCCCCATCTCATGTTATAATCACTTTTGTTTTATATTACAGATTGATTTCCAAAAGCAAACACCTGTAACTCTAGGGAACACGGACAAAATTAACACTGCTCTAGTCTAAACAAACTCACATCATCTGAGCTTCTGCAATCCAATTCCACTTCCTTTTTTTCTACAATACACTTTACAATTGTTTATAGATTCACTAACTTTTCTACATCCACTACAGAAGTTTCAAACTCAAATATATCTTCAATAGCCACGAATACCTCTATCTATTCCATTTTAAGCTTAGGTATATCATAAAATGAGAAGACCCTGAGTGCTCATTTAGACTGATCTTACCAGATTTTCAAGATATAATTATGCAATCCAACATCAGAGATAGCAAGTAATATACTGGAGGCAGATTCATACTTGGAATTTCTGAGGTACTAAGGGCAGCTGAGGGGCAGTTCTGAGTTTCCACCTACCTACAGTGGTGAACTGGATACTACTGAGAGTCAATAAGGCAGTGGCCATGGGCATGATGAGTTACTCTAACTATATCAAACTACACTTCACTGCTCTACTAGCTTTCTGCTTATCCATTTTTATCACTATCCAATCTGGAATCAACCTCCTTCCTCCACAAATACTCATCAAAGTAATCAACAATCACCACATGACCAAATTCAATGGACATTTTTCTAAAGTGATCTTAATCTCTCAGCAGCATTTTCTTCCTTTTCAACCCAGTCCCCTTCTCCCTCAGCTCCTGTGATCTTACATTAATGTTCTCCTCCTACCTTACTGGAGGCTCCCTCTCAGTCTCCTTTACTGCCCCTCCTTCTCTATCCAAATTTTACTGTTGGCATGCATCAGAGGAGTGCCCTATAGAGTCACAAACTCAAAGGTCAAAGGGAAAAGGCAGGGAACATAAAGAATTACACGTGCAGGGGCAGGGATTAGAGAGAACAGAGCATCTTCAAGCCAGACCTCAAAGCCTCCAGCCTCTAGCATTCACTCATGAATGAAGATTCACTGCACCTTAGTCTTGATTTCTCAAGAAAGGAAGGGAAAATTCAGATTTTTATGGGGAATTTCTCAGTTTTTAAAAATACTAGCAATTAATTCTGGAAACTGTCAAGTACTGTGAGCCAAAAAGAATTTATCTCTAACAACCTCTGTGGTCTGTGTGCCACTAGTTTTAGGCCTCTGTTTTATGCTCTCCCTGGGATGACCTCAGTCAACTGCATAGCTTTTATTAGCATTTCTATCAGTGGTTCTCAACAAGATGTGATTTTTGCCAATTCAGTTCAGTCACTCATCCGTGTCCGACTCTTTGAGACCCCATGAAACACAGCATGCCAGGCCTCCCTGTTCATCACCAGCTCCAGGAGTCCACCCAAAGCCGTGTCCATTGAGTCAGTGATGCCATCCAACCATCTCATCCTCTGCATCCCCTTTCTGCTCCTACCCTCAATCTTTCCCAGCATCAGGGTCTTTTCCAATGAGTCAGTTCTTCGCACCAGGTGGCTAAAGTACTGTAGTTTCAGCTTCAACATCAGTCCTTCCCAAGAACACCCAGGACTGATCTCCTTTAGGATGGACTGGTTGGATCTCCTTGCTGTCCAAAGGGCTCTCAAGAGTCTTCTCCAACACTACAGTTCAAAAGCATCAATTCTTTGGCGCTCAGATTTCTTTATAGTCCAACTCTCACATCCATACCTGACCAGTGGAAAAACCATAGCCTTGACTAGACGGACCTTTGTTGGCAAAGTAATGTCTCTGCTTTTTAATATGCTGTCTAGGTTGGTCATAACTTTCCTTCCAAGGAGTAAGTGTCTTTTAATTTCATGGCTGCAATAACCATCTGCAGTGATTTTGAAGCCCAGAAAAATAAAGTCAGCCACTCTTTCCACTGTTTCCCCATCTATTTCCCATGAAGTGATGGACCAGATGCCATGATCTTAGCTTTCTGAATGTTAAGCTTTAAGCCAACTTTTTCACTCTCCTCTTTCACTTTCATCAAGAGGCTCTTTAGTTCTTCACTTTCTGCCATAAGGGTGGTGTCATCTGCATATCTGAGGTTATTGATAGTTCTCCCAGCAATCTTGATTCCAGCTTGTGCTTCTTCCAGCCCAGCGTTTCTCATGATATACTCTGCATATAAGTTAATAAGCAGGGTGACAATATACGGCCTTGATGTACTCCTTTTCCTATTTGGAACCAGTCTGTTGTTCCATGTCCAGTTCTAACTGTTGCTTCCTGACCTGCACACAGGTTTCTCAAGAGGCAGGTCAGGTGGTCTGGTATTCCCATCTCTTTAAGAATTTTCCACAGTTTTTGGATCCACAGAGTCAAAGGCTTTGGCATAGCCAATAAAGCAGAAATAGATGTTTTTCTGGAACTCTCTTGCTTTTGCAATGATCCAGTGGATGTTGGCAATTTGATCTCTGGTTCCTCTGCCTTTTCTAAAGCCAGCTTGAACATCTGGAAGTTTGCAGTTCATGTATTGCTGAAGCCTGGCTTAGAGAATTTTGAGCATTACTTTAATAGTGTGTGAGATGAGTGCAATTGTGCAGTAGTTTGAGCATGCTTTTTGGCACTGCCTTTCTTTGGGATTGGAATGAAAACTGACCTTTTCCAGTCTTGTGGCCACTGCTGAGTTTTTCAAATTTGCTGGCATATTGAGTGCAGCACTTTCACAGCATCATCTTCCAGGATTTGAAAGAGCTCAACTGGAATTCCATCACCTCCACCAGCTTTGTTCATAGTGATGCTTCCTAAGGCCCATTTGACTTCACATTCCAGGATGTCTGGCTCTAGGTGAGGGATCACACCATCGTGATTACCTGGGTCATGAAGATCTTTTTGTACAGTTCTTCTGTGTATTCTTGACACCTCTTCTTCATATCTTCTGCTTCTGTTAGGTCCATACAATTTCTGTCCTTCATGGAGCCCATCTCTGCATGAAATGTTCCCTTGGTATCTCTAATTTTCTTGAAGAGATCTCTAGTCTTCCCCATTCTATTGTTTTCCTCTATTTCTTTGCCTTGATCACTGAGGAAGGCTTTCTTATCTCTCCTTGCTATTCTTTGGAACTCTGCATTCAAATGGGAACATCTTTCCTTTCCTCCTTTGCTTTTCACTTCTCTTCTTTTCACAGCTATTTGTAAGGCCTCCTCAGACAGCCATTTTGCTTTTTTGCATTTCTTTTTCTTGGGGATGGTCTTGATTCCTGTCTCTTGTACAATGTCATGAACCTCCGTCCATGGTTCATCAGGCATTCTGGCTATCAGATCTAGTCCCTTAAAACTATTTCTCACTTCTACTTATAATCATAAGGGATTTGATTTAGGTCATACCTGAATGGTCTAGTGGTTTTCCCCACTTTGTTCAATTTCAATCTGAATTTAACAATAAGGAGTTCATGATCTGAGCCACAGTCAGCTCCAACCAGAAGGCATATAGCAAGGTCTGGAGACATTTAGTTGTCACAACTTGGAAAAGGGGTGTTACTGGCTTCTAATGGGTAGAGGCTGGGAATGCTGTAAACATATGATGCACCAGCCAGTCCCCCACCACAATTATCCTGTCCAAAGTATCAATATATTTTGCCAAAGTGGAGAAATCTTGTTCTGTATTTGAGTCTTGGGTTTATTTTTTTTTAAACTGAAGTATACTT